TCCTGCTGCTGCTGCCGCTGCTGCGGCGGTCTGACAGTCCCCCCACAGACTCCAGATTGCCAGAGTGCTGCCAAGAAGGAGACAAGCATTCTGCTGCTGTCTCTGCAGCAGCAGCAGCAGCAGGAGCGCCCAGAAGGGGCAGCTCAGACGCCAGACTCACCTGCTGCTGCTCCTGCTGCTGCTGCTGCTGCTCGTCCTGCTGCACCGATACGCGTCTTGCTGCTGCTGGAGGGGCCAGGGCCCCGCTGCGCATCCGCGGCTGAGGGGGGGCCTCCTGTGGGAGTCCCCAGCGGCCCTCGGGGGCCCCCTTTCCAAGGGAGGGCCCCTCGGGGCCCCCAATACCCTCTAGGCCAGACACATGAGGGGCCCCTCCCCCTTGATGGGGGGCCCCCCCCTGCTGGAGGGGCCCCTCTGGGGCCCCCTGCAGAGAAACCCCCTTCTGGGGGGCCCCCTGCTGCGGGGCTCCCTGCTGCGGGGGCCCCTTGGGGGCGCCCTGCTGGGGGGGCCCCTGCTGAGGGGCCCCCTCAGGGGGCCCCTGCTGGGGGGCCCCCAGCCGCAGCGGGAAGGGAAGGGCTGGTGAAGAAAGGGACCTTTCCATTTGAATTCTTTTTGTCTTCAGCTTCGCCAGACGTTCCCGAATAAGACGAACTGCAGCAGCAGCAGCAGCAGCAAGATGGAGCGAAAAATAGCAGCAGCAGCAGCAGATCGAGCGGAGGACAGCAGCAGCAGCAGCAAGATGGCCCCAGAAAGCCGCAGCAGCAGCATCGGGTGTGCCGGCCGCAGCAAAGCAGAAAGGGTAGGAAACAGCAGCAGCAAGCAGCAGCAACGGCGCAGCAGCGTCTGCCCGTCCCCCCCCAGCAGCAGCAGCAGCAGCAGCAGGAGCGTTTGAGGTGTACGTACACTGCGACGGCGCGGCGGGCCTGACGCGGATCAAGTTGTTGAAGTGTCCGCTGCCATCCTGGAGGCAAAGAGAGACATAAATGCATAAAATAAAACAGATAAATAAATTAAATAAATAAATTAGAAAAATAAATAAATAGATAAATAAATAAACGCACTGCTATGACCGTCTGGCTGCCGTCGCAGACGTAGCGGCCGGTAACTATGAACTTCAAATCGTG